ATGTGGCATTTTCCACATGTTTAGCAGTGAAGCAGACATTTGTTTGGACTATATGCCTCTGTGTACTTTTTTAATGTAATAAAATTGACAGATGACTTCTTTTTGCAACAGGTTTGGTAGAAGAAAATGTTTTTTTTCTTGATGGCTGTTTAGACAGCAGTCTTAAAAAATGACTAGTCACTAAAATTCCTCATGCTCATTTCATATTGTGTTGATTCATATTAAATTCATGACAACAAAAAAGCAACTTGAGGCACTTTTGGAAATGACCACTCTTTAGTGCTTCTCTCCTCCAGGCTTGATAGGCCCAGAGTCCATAAAGCTGCCTGCTGTCTTGTGTCATGAAAAGAAACAGCTTTGCCTGGGAATGCCATTACTGTGTAATGAGGCATGCAGCAAAATATACCTTCAGCAGCCACTTGATGAAGGCTTGCTGACACACCAGACCAGACAGAAATGTTTTTTTGTGTGTTCTTCCTTATTTTGTCCATCAATCACATCATTAGTCAAAGCAGACAGCCTTGTCAGCTGGGCACAGATGCGGACTGGCAGGCGATCAGTGGACAGGTGTTAGAGCTTTCCCAAAACAAGATCTTGAAATGAGAAAAGGAGTGAAGACCTTGTTTCAAGGGCTGGAATGTCAATAAAAAAAACAGACCAGGAGGGGAAAAGTTCAGAGGGGGTGCTCAGAGCAACCATGCAGATACTTTAGGGAAAGTTAAAGGAACCTGCCACTTTTTATTACATTTTAATTTCTGTCCACATTAGTGGATGGCTATGGATTGCAATGATGTCCAACAATCCCTGGTTTGAATATAGTCTAAAGGACATTATGTAAACAGTACTGTACTTCAGTTTCATTAGGAAAATCCTCTATGGCACATGGATTTATTTGTCCGAGGTTTCTGTCATTAAGCTGAGACACTAATACCCATGACGAGCATATATTCTTTCAGTCTGACGTGCAAAATGGCAGAGAGCTACACGAGGGATCTCATTTTCATTATAAGAACCAAAAACATAAACACAGTGAGATACATCCCAACTGTCCCTGATTATAAGCAATGCTAATCATGTAAAGTGAAATCTTGCACTCATCAGTCCTCACTCAGGCAAACCCCCCACCAACTTTGATGGGAGCCTAGCCTGAGTAATGAGCTAGACCTGTGAGCCCTGCTTTATGAGCATCTGGCACTGAGGTCCATGTCTCTTTCCCTTAGCCAGCATTTCTGATATAAATAACACTGTCACAACAACAGGGGAGAATTGCAGGTTTGTCTGGGATGGAGTTAGATTTGAACCAGGGCTTTCTCTAGTTTCCTCTGCAAAGTCTGTACCTTCCTAGGCTTTGCAGCATAGCCTGGACACTGTTCCAGGAGCTACCAGGGGAATGGACCATGGCATGTCCTAATCTCATTGTGACTAAAGAAAACAAATCTGTTTAATTTCCCTGCCTCTTTATTAGCATTCATTGTTATCCATCCAGCTCTCACCAGCATCCCTGGAACTGCACATCTGATAATTCTTTGGTTCTGGGCTGAATTGGAATTGAGGCTGCAGCATAAAAGGGCTGCTCTAGCTGTCATGGCCCTTGGGTTAGGAAGACTAAGGCATACTAGTGCAAAATGCAGTGATGTGACTAGCACTGTATCTGGCTGCCATTGAATCTAATGCCTTAATGGCCTTGTACCCCCTTTCACAGCTGGCTCAAATGGAAGCAGCCTCTGGCCAAGCCTAGAACAAGGCTTGAACTCAAGACTCTGGATAAACAGCAAGATACTTTAACTATTCTGCCCCTGGGCTCATTCCATCCCTTATAACAATTGGTTTATCTTGCCAAAAAGCCATTTTTTAAAATGTTGGTTGTGTGCCTTTACTTGAAATGGGGACTTACGCATCCACCTCCTTCACTGCATGAGCTCCACCAAAGCCCAAGTCAACCGAGATCCACTCATATGTCTTGTAATAGCTCAATCAGAATTTTCTGTGTTCTGCTTCTTCCAGCCATAACATTCAGTTCTGTAAACTGAAGCTCTCTCATAATGCTTTTGTGCAAATGCTTACAGCAAAGGGTGTTTCATTTCCTTCCCATCCTCCTGGTCTGCTGTTTCATCTGCGAATGCACTCTCAAACTTTGAATTGTAGATGGCTTTAATAAATTAGATCATTATTTCCTGACCAAGAAACCTAATTAACTGTTTTTGAACAGCTTTGCCTGCATAGCATGCACTTTTGAACTATATTTTGTATGATTCTCCAACTCCTCATCACCAAATGCCGCATGAATCTCATGCAACATACTGCTCTTTGGTGCCATGTCATTCTGCAATGACATGGACAAAATGATGCTCCTCAGGGTCAAGAGCAGGTTCTGCAGATATAATTTTATGCACAAGCTGCTTCTCTCAGTCGTATTCTGACTCATCTGGTCAAACTAAATGCAAATAATTCTCCAGCTCCCTTTGATAGCAAATTTCCCATTAACATTAAAAGGTTCAACACATTTAGTACCCTCACCTCTTTGAAATGGCATGCCCATTCTGCATTCATTGGTTAATCTTTCTGTGGCTAGATCTGAAAACATATCCATCACTTTTACATATTTCTTTACTTATATCCCCAGCTTGGCAAACCATGATTGTGTTGCTGTTGTCCAAGAAGGATCAACATAGTGTCTTGCCTCCATTGAAGTCAATGATTAATCTTGATTGATTTTAATGGGACAGGATCATATCCCTAGTCCTTCTGTTGATTTCCATCACTCTATGCTCCCAAGACACACAGGAATTGGTCACCTTTTGTCTTACTGATCAACTGTGTGCTGCTGGCCCCCCAGTGTCCTCCTGGCACTGAAGTGGCGGAGATCACCCACTGATGCTCCTGCCCCCAGCCCTGCCCAGCTTTCCACCCAGCTGCTTCCCATGGCTGGAGCCCTTGAGCCAAGAGGATGGGGAGGGTGCTGGGACCCATCACTCCATGCAGCCAATCTCTGCAGCTCCTGGATGGATCAGGGCACAAATGGTCTTGGGGCCTCCAGAGCCCCTGGGTCAGCCAGGGACAGCAGTGGTTGTGGGTGGGTTGCCTCTTCCTTACCTTTTTCCCATTTGGTATCCCTGGGTATCCTGCCCCAGCCAGGCGTCATACACAGCAAGGGACAAGACATTCAGAGGCACATGTGACCTTCACTGTGGAAGAGGGGTGCAAACACACCACTGTACCTTCTGGATCCAACCCTGTCTGTTTTAAGTGCTGAAAGAAACAGTGGTGGGATAATCTCACTGCTGAAATAGGAGACGAGGTAGAGACCGCACTGTTTAGATGCTGATTCTACACAGTGCATGGATGGGCCACACAGTCTGCTTCTGAATTTCAGTTGCTCGTTATGCTGTTGGAGGAGGAGACACATTGCTGTGTAAGGTGAAGAATACAAATCCGCCTGACTGGAATGGAACTAATATTATTTTCCACCCTGAATAAAAAATATCTTGCCAAATTATGTCTTTCCCAAGCAAAAATTCTTGCTAGAAAACTACAGCTTGCCTGTTTCAAAAACAAATCACAACAGATGCTGGAACCCTGCCTGCTCAGACAAACCAAGTAGGTTTCACAAGGACCTGAAAAAATGGATGCAGATTCTTGCAAGAAGAAAAGTGACTCTGGAGCTCGAAATGCAGGAAGCCCTGAAAGGACCAAACTGTCCAGGGAAGGATGCTAGCTTAAACTGTAGTTTAGGTTCACATTCATTCCTTTTCTACGTTCAGATGAAAGGCAAAGCCCTGAAATGAGATGGTTTGCACCAAAACCAGCATATGCCATCTGCCAGGGGAGTTGGACCCACCAAATAGCATCCCTAGTTTCCTACTTTATTTTGCAGGCTGAGTCTGCCAAGCAGCATCAAATTTCAAATAAAAAAAAATACAGCCTGAAAACTAGGGCAGACCAAAACTTCAGTACCAATATGGCTTGCAGCAGTCACATAACACTGAATGAGTGCCTGGGGCACCCCTGAGGCGAGGATATGGGACAGAATAGAAAAATGGGGGTGGGGGAATAGGGTCTGAAGCTGGAGGTGGAGAGCACAGGTCCTGTGTGGGGGGCAGGGTGGCATAAGTTCAAGAGCAGTGACAAGGGGGCAACAGCCTATGGACACAAGGGACTTCTAAACAGTGGCGGCTGAGATGCTGTGCCTGGCCCCGCCAGGAACTGATTTTAAGTTCCTGGACCAGTAACACTGCGGAGGTGCGGACTCCACAGGGTTGGAGGACAATTCTGGCACCCCTCCTAACCTGGCATCTGGCATGGGTGCCCCTCTCGCCCACCCCTAGTTATGCTACCAGTTTCAGGAAAGACACAGTCTGAAAGAGAAGTGTCCTTCAGCCTGAAAGCAAGAGCAGCACACATCAGTAAGCAGATAAGCAGAACTGGGTTGAGATAGGCTCTGCTCTTTCTTTCATCTGCTGCCTTTACCCCTACAATTCTTTGTGAGCATTATTCATTCCCTCTAGGTCCTTCTTCTCCTTGTGGTCCTCCTGCTCCTCCCTACCTTTCACTTACCTCCTGATCCACTGGCCTGTTTTCCCTTCCAGTTTGGTCCTGGCTCCCACCTGCTTCTCTACCTCTCAGCCCTTCTCCTTCCCCTCCCTTCCCCTCCTTCCCCTCCCTTCCCCTCCAGGTTTTGTCCACTCCATGTCACCCCATCATTCAGCCTTGCTCTAGTTTTTCTGTGTAGGTTTCTCTTCACTAATAGTTACACCACTTATTAAAATTAAATAATAAAAATATATTAAGCAAGCAATGCTCTCACCATTACGTGTTAAATTAATCACATAACTTGGAGGGAACCTGAGGTCTTATTCATTTCTTTCCAGTTACTTCAGGCCCTTGCTTCAAGTTCTCAGGTCTGTTTGCTCTCTGGATATTCTGGAGTCCTTGAGGCATTGCTACTCAATCAGATAGGCCAAGAGGAAATCAAATGAACCATGCATTTATCTTATACCTACTCTCTCTGGGTCTCAGCATATCCCATGGGTTTCTCCTTCTCATGCCTCCTGGGATTGGAACATGATCATGTCACTCCGCAAGTCCCTGCCTGCAAAATAAATTTAACAAACTTGACATTTAAGTTGTCCTCTAGATTCAGGGATCGATTCCTAGGGCAGACCTGGATCTTTGGTACTGTTAAAGAGGCAACAAATGGGCTGGAAAGTGACCTGAGGGGAGCGCTCTGCTGACACAAACACACTAGCCCAAGATTTGCTCCTGTTGCCACTTACCCACTTAACATGTGGAGCAAGACTTGTAACTACCACACCAAGCCTAGAGTCTACCCGTGTCTGGTTCATTAAGGTCCATACATCAATATGGCTAGTTAGGGGACTTCCCAGAAATAGTAAAAAACTGTCAGAGTTTGGGCTACCCATGGTGTTAAGGTCTGAGCGGAGATCAAGAGCAGGAGAGGATCAAATCAATTATATTCAGAGTGATTAGGCTGTTGAGGTAGATTCATACCTGTTGTTTCAGGCGTTGTGTCTACAACAGAGCTTGAAACAATAAGCTATGCAGTTTTATTCTGCACTTGGGCTGCCTTTGGGAGATTTACTTCACAAACCTGAGGGCTAAAAACTTAGTTTTCTATTTTAGGCAAACATTTAAACCCAAATATACTTACCATGCCAATCCAAAACACTGGTAATAGGTCCACAGCCAAGTACTGATAGTAAGTGAGGAGAATTAGTTAACGTCTCCTCACACAACACAAAATATGGCCCTACGCATAGCTCATATTTAGCACAGTGCAATTACTCTGCAAAGATACAGTACCTTGTGAAATATCAAGGTAACCTGAATCTTAACGTGTGTCACCACTGTCTTTGGTCACTTATTTTAGAAACTATTAAAAAAAATAAGATTCATTCCACTTCAATAAATAACAGGCAGGAAGGGGGAAAAAAGAAAGAAAGAGAAATTAGGATCACCAAAAGGTCAGGTGCCTTTATACAGCACAAGGGAAAAGGAACAGACTCTCAGATCTTTCCAAGAGCTGACCTTTCTAAAGATGTGCTCAGCATGAAGGGGGCAATACCTGATACAGATCCACACTTCTACCTTTAAATAAGAATTAATGCCAGGGAGATTTCTCTTGAGATATCATTAATCTAACCAACCATTGGAGGTCACTATTGCACTAAGTAGGTGTAGGTGGAATACACTCAAGTAGGCAAAGAAAATAATAGACCTATAGGAATCAGTAACAATGAATATCTAAGCATTATGAATAATCTAGCCCTTTTTATGGAGGATGAAGTAAAATGCATTAGTAAATAAGGTTCATTAATTATGTAAATTATAAATTGATTAGGGGCCAGTAGGGCTTTCATAAGGAAACGCGAACACCAGACAAAACTTACAGAAGGCATACAGAGATTAGTAATGTGTAATAGAGTGAAGAAAAACTAGGTTTGCCAGCCACTCCCTGCATACACCAGAAGGAAAATGTGTAGGCAAGATGTTCCAGCCCTTCCCACACTGGTGGAAATGCTTGAAGAAAAGGGAAATGTCCTGGAGTCTGTTAGGGGAAGAGAAGAAGGATGATTTAATGGATAGTGGTTCTTGGACTCTGGTAACCTCTGGTTTATTCCTAGCTCTGCCACAAATTCTTTTTGTGCTCTTGGGCAAGTAACTCAATCTCTGTCATGCCTCAGTGCTATAAGATGGACATTATTTTGGGGTGCTAGGAGAATCAAATCCATTAATGGTTGCAGGTGGCCAAATTCAGTGATAACAAAGGCTATGTAAACACCTGACTAGATAGATTAGCTTTTCTTACAATATTGGTTAATTTTGCCAAGTTCACACAGTGCTTGGCATTTTCAAGTAAACCTGGAAACCAAGGCAGCCCCCGCCCCCAGGGACTGCTACTTCAACTGCCAGCTTGAGTTCATCAGAGCTGCAGCACAAACCCAGCCCTAGCTGTTAAGTACAACACCTGGTCAGATCATCCTATATAGTAGAATAGACATTATACACCAATATGGCACTTCATCTTTATCCCTCCAGTGGCAGCATGCAAAAATCATATGACATATCCCCTCGCTGCTGCAGTCTGGATCCTGTCTCCGCAGCATTATCATCGATCTTTTGTTCTACATTAGGCTCCTAGGCAGCCCATTGGGGCCGATTTGTCAATAATTTCAAAGGTTATTCAAACGTTCAAGCTTTATTGTGATTCTTAATGGATCATCTCCATAGAGCAATTTAGAAGTGTAGAAGAGAGGAAGGTTATATAGCAACACTGAAGAGACAGTACCAAGGTGGTGACAGTGCCACTATAATGTTGAATCTTGCCACCATTACACATAAAAGACAAGAGAAAAATTGTGCTTGGTCTATGAGTACTTAGTATGTAGTTTCAAACAGGTCATCTATATAAATTAAGATGCAGGAAGAGGGGGGAAACAGGATTAATAAGGATCAACGGTGCAAGCAACTGGCATCAGATGTCAATGCCATGTTGGAATTCAACAGAATGGGATTTCTGGTAGCCTTAGAAACTAGAGCAGTGATCAGTCTCACCCAGATATGCCTATTAAAAGGAATATGTGAGGTCCAGAAAGAGCCCAGCACAGACAAAACTGTCATTCAGTATGATTTTTCTTGAATCACAGAGGCAATGTTCACGAGTCGGTGATCATCTAGTGGGTGCATCGCCTCAACAGGTTTCCTTTCTAAAGCTTAAAGAATTAAAGCATATCGACAAGTAAAGCCCATATAAAAAAGTAAACCTATTGGGCCTGATGTAGCCCTTACTTAAGCAACTGTAATCACAAACAACTTCAATAAAGACAAGGGCATTAATTCCGTGTTACAGATAGGCAACTGGGACACAGGCAGGCAAAAAATAGAGCATTTGTTAAAAGACAAAATACACCTAGTTGGGCATGGGCTGAGGGAGGACCAAAGCAAATTCATGTTTGAGGAAAGTAGAGGAGAAGAAAGTAGAAGATAAAAGGAAATAATGAAATCCTGGCCCCACCGAAGTCAATGGGAGATTTGCCATTGAGTGAAATCTTCGCAAAAATTCCCGTTGACATTGGATTTCACCCAAAGTATCAGCATCACTTTTAAAATGTATTAGCTGCTCTTCCTTTAAAGTCAGCAGGGCTATGCAATCAGTTGTTTGCTGCCAACATAGTAAGTATGTTGGGAGGCACCACAGGCTCTGCCCAAATACAAAGATTAACCTTAGAAATCATTTGCTTAGGTGCTTTTGCTAACATATATGCGAATATCATGAATCCAAAGAACAGGGGGAAAAAGAACAATCAGAAAGTTTTCTTAATCTATTAAGTACAGTGGTGCACTTCTTTAAAAAATAAGGACTTCTGAAACAGAATAGCTGAACAGTTTTCATAATTAGAGCTTATATACACATTTCATTACATCTATCCTTAAACTGTAAGTCCAAAAATAATGGTGTTACCACTCTGGAAGTATTTATTGTGCACTAGAACCTTGATAATTCTCACTTTGCTAATGTGCAAACCCAGTAATTTTAATAGAAAAAATGGCAATCTCCCACTGCTCAGGAAAGATTTAGTAGCAGAGTGTAAAAAGCAAGGTTTGTATCATGGAGTCTTCACTATTACAGCATACGCTACAGTAACTACTAATAGAGGGCTCAAGTAGGCAAATCGCATTTATGTTCTTTACACAAAACATCCTTTCAATTGGATTTTACCCAAAGAATGGGCTGCTTCCATAAGTAAAAGATCATGATAAAGGAATCAAAATGAAATTTAAATAGTTGAAAATAAATGGATCACAATATGGGAACAAGGTATGCCTTGTAATTCATACCCTCTGATATTTTTGTGCTCTAAATAAAGCTGAGTGGAAAATATTTTCCCCACCCTGTAAAAATCTGAGGTGACTATGTTTGAGATTTCAACTCTTCATCATGATTTGAAAAGGAAAGATATTAATGTAACAAACCTCTGAACAATATCAATTCAGATCAACTGACCTATTTAATTTCTACTTTTTAAAATTGCTTTACTTCACTTTCAACTATTTTAAATACTCCTATAATTTACTTGTATTTCTAAACAAAAAGCTATTCCAAATAGAAAACCAGACCTATTTATTTAAAAAAATAATCAAAGCAATAAAAACCTTATTTTTTTCCCCAAAATTTCAGTGTCAAAATAACTTGGCAAAATAGACCCTTTCTTGTGAACAGTTTTGGTTTTGATAAATCAGCATTTTCTGATGAAAAATCATGCATCAGCAAATTTCCAATCTGTTCTACATCTTCCTTACTAGTTATAGCATGCTACAATATATAACCTACCTTTCCTATCATTAGGGAAATTCAGTGATATTCTACTCTAGTTAAACATTTTCAGGTTATTTTTTGGAAGGTGAACCATGTAGACATGGCTGTTGAATTGGCCAGCCATTATTACTCAGTACTGTGTCATCGTTCTTGGAAGCAGAACATGTGAAGATGTAAAACATAATTGTTCCCCTTACAAAGGTTGAAGAGTAGGTTCTCCATCCTACCTTTGTAAGTCTGATTCCTCCTGTCCAGAAGGACATAAAGTTTACCAGAAGTACATGAATGGGAGTAACATAGCAAATTCCCTTTTGTTCTTATTGCCAGTGTTGTTTTATCTTTGCTTTTTTTAAAATTACAGTAGCAATATAGTCAACATGGGTGTATTTGGACATTTAAGGGCTTTAAAAATACCAGGCCAGTGAACTGAGATATATACTGGAAGATAATATGAGCTACACTGTAATTATCACCATTTCCAGAAACACTGCTATGTAGTTACTACATAGCACAGTAACTATGCCACTAAATTATATCCTCCACCCTCCAGTACTTAGTAGAAGGCTAGAACACCTACAAGAACAATGCACTACCTATAACTTTCAACATATCTTGTACTATTAGTAAAAACTTTTTAAAATTCATACTTGATAAAGTAATAAACTTGTTTGATGTATAAGACCCCACATACCAAATGGTGAAATACAGGGAGAGTTGTTAAAAGAATAAACCTGTTGAATAAATCTGCTATGCAAAAATTTATCTCAATGTTATATATAATGAAACCCTTCTTAAACCAAAACCTGATA